TGTCAAAATTAAATGAAACGGTCCCGTTTTAGACTTAAGTCATACCTCAATCCCTCCTATACAAATTTGTCAAATTGATACGAGCTTGCTTTCTTTTGTGCTTTTCATGAGCAAAGTTTATTTGCCTCAGTATCCGGGGCAATGATTTCCGCCATTTTACGGCTACCGACGCTCGTTTCAGTTTTCGTGAATTTTCTAGGATAAAGAAACAAGTCTGGGAAAAAAACCTTACCACGTTTCTAAGTTCACTATAACGAATCTCTGACTGAAATACGAGGAAAGTCATTTTTCAGTCGATGTGCCACGTCTCACGCGGTATTGAAAAAAACTGAGTCTGGCGTTCTTAAGGATCCAATTCAAAGCAGCCCCTTAATTGTTCATTAAGCTTCTCTTTAAGTTGGTGAAAAGTCTTGTAAAGTTATAAAAGCATTAATTATAAGGTCTTAAAAAGGAACTAAGGGGAGGAAGGGATAAATAAGAACGTTGTCGCAAAGCTGGTTTAAAAAATTTCCCATTTGTAAACCCCTTCAGATCAGACTACCACCAACATGATTGGGAGTCATACACATGTAAGTTAAGGCCTTTATTTGGAAAATAGCATTCTGCCATAGCCTTAAAATTGCAGAATGTGAAAATTTGATGATATCAAATGAAAAGGTTCTACCTTTGGATATAAGTACTCCATACACCTCTACTCTCAAAGCTTTCCTTCTCTGAAACTTGACAGGCTGGAAACGGATGAACCTTGCCCTCACATCTTTGAGATTATGTTTGACAATGTCATTTCTTCCAGAATTGCCACCGAAAACCTAAAACAATGATCAAAAAATATGAGCTGATGATGTAACGTACTGTAGAACAATTTTATTGTTGATGGCGTGGGAGATTAGAACAATGTCATCAGTACATCTCTCAACTAGCAGCCAGGTGTTAGTATATGCTCTAACTTGACAAAATTGGAGGCCGATGTGCTTAAAAGTCTCCCGATGTGTCCACTTTTTCCCCCACTTTACAAGGTCAGTCAATCCAATTTACATTATATGTGAATTTGTGGAACTGATGACTACAAGGCCTTGAGGCAACTTGCTTATACATATGCTTACTGGGAAGCTTAGTCCTTAAATAAACATTCCTGTAAGTTCCTTGCTTTTAAAGCCATGCACTTATGTCCATTCAAAATAGTATGCTTGTTTCTATTCAATTCTCAAGCAGTACCAAGAGGAGAGATGCATTTGTGACCTTCTCTTAGTCTAAGCTAGAACATGACAACCATTTCACAAGCTTTCTCAAGGGTTCAGAGTTCTGCAGAGACTTAGAGCCCTCACATAGCTTTCAATATCTCCCTTTAGTACACCTCTAAGAATATCTTGTACAGCCAGCTCTGTGGCTTTTTTAACGTAACCTTGTCAACATTATTTTCCTTGTAGGTTACAAAAGTGGAACCATCAAAGGATAGCTGTAACTTGTATTCTGTTGTCCAGTCGTCATAAGTTGACCTCCCTTGAGTAGCTACAGCACAAATAAGAAACTCATACTGCAGATCAATTTGTAGATAATCATCAGGTCTGTCATTTCTGTTGGGTAGCCATCCCCTAAAGGCATGCAGTCGACCTTTAAAAGCTTCGAAATCCTTACGCTCACTTGATGCTGAGAAGCTGGCATCAGGGAGTGTGTCATTGCTAGCCACACCAATGGCCTGCATTTGGCAAGCTGAAATCAGTAAAAAAAAAACGATGAACAGATTAAATAAAAAGCAGATATACAACAAACAAGAAGTAGACAGCAAACTTGCCAATCTAAAAATAATTTACATTTGAAGAGGATTTATTTAAAATAAAATCATACCAGGGGTTAATTTTCATTTTACGTATGTCAGGTGTCCTAATTCAAGTATTTTTTTGGTCTTAGCACTAGACTTTCACTACATATGTGACATTAAGCTATGTTCAACATTTTACCAATGTTTTCCACTTCACATAAAAGGTTTGGAAAAAAAATTCACTTATTGTCATAAATTAAGGTACCTACAGGTATTGTAGTAAAAGCATGGCACAGAGAACTCAGTCACCGAAATATTTTAGAGGAAAGGCTAAAAACGGTTATTGTAAGGTTAAGTATTATATACAGCTATAGCATTAAAGTTTTCATGTGCATTTGCTATTACAGCAGAAAGCCCATTAAATAACTCTAACAAGATCAAGAATTGATTTGAAGTGGGGGGGGAAATGAATATTCTCAATACTCTACTAGTAATTGCATGGAAAGAAAAAATTGCGGAAAATGGCTGTAAGATTGAGCCTTATGAGGAGTTAGAGTTTACCAACTGAAGCTCAAGTCTACAATGTATATACAGGTTCAACCACGTCAACAGAGCTCATCACTCATGTTCAGGAAATCAACCACATCATAGAGGGGATGCATGTAGAAAAAAACCTATAAACTAGCATACATTCAGTATTATAACTCGTCTGTGCAATAACTTGAGACTTCAATCAGTGTGAGTTTATCAAGCATGTAATGTTATTTTGATATAAGATACGTTACCTCTCCTTTCAGAATAAACTTCAACTTCACAAAGTGTGAAGTGTTTCTTCTGACCTCTTAAACTTCTTACAGTCACATATCTTCCAAATAAAACAGGACGGCAGAAAAAGGATACACCTTTTCCTCTTGGAAGACTATAACTCTGCTTATCACCACACCTGGGATTGGCAATTCCTCCATTGTCAGATACTGTGCCTTAAGAGAATCACAAAACAATTTCCACTTTAGCAAGGAAAGTAATAAAGGACTTGTTTACCCTTCTATCATTACAAAATGGTTTGAAAGTGACATGAAACCAGATAGCTTAATCATCCTTCTGGCATTGGTTGTTCCAAGGTTGAATCATGCTATATCCACTGGATAAATTTCTTCCACCCAGTGAATAGCGCAGCACATTTTGCATTTATCTGCTGGATGGCAATTTATCATTTGGATAACATTTGGTACTTTTCATTTATGTTTTATACCCATTTATTTTTAACAATAATCCTTCATTAGTTAAGAGGGACCTTAAGATATGAGGACGGGACAATCTAGGATGGCTACCGGAAGTAAATTTGCACGATGGAGCATGCACAAATGAGGTCCATGCAGACACGTTCAAACTTGTGTACTCCCTGTCCTGGTCTCATTGAGGATGCCATTCAGCTTGTTTTGCCGTTGTCTCAAAGACGTGAGTATTTTTGAGTTGTTTTTATTTGTAAAAAGACGGAATGATTTATTTCATCAGGTATACTCACTTAAGTAATTCTTAAGCTTACAATTTTTATAACTGTCGCAAGTTATTTTACTCGAATTATGAAAAACCGATTGTTTATATGGACTGATGGTGTTTTGCAGTCGCGGCCATGAGTGATGCCAAGCAGTATCCGGTGAAGAAAAGTAAATCAATGTAAGTAAACTAAATCCGGTAACCAAATTGTAGTAAACGAGCAAACCTCTACTTTGAGTAGTTTATTCTAAATTTCATTAGGTTGTAACGCATGACTTAAGCCTTTGTATATACCTCGCGGTATTTGTGAGTTTTTTTTTCATTTACGTCAGGATTCACAATTATTCGTTCGGTGGGATCTAAAGGTTAATTTGAATTGAATTGTAATTTTCAGGAAGCCAATGGTATGGAGTTCAATTCAAAACGAAATGTTGTGCTGAGAATCTTGGTTGTTGATCCCTTTACTGGGACAAAAGAGTACAATTGGAAGAGGAAAGAAATGGGAAGAATGATAACCTGAAAAAGATTGAAGCTGTCTACATCATGGTTGATAAGAGAGCTGTCCGGGATTGCTACAACCTTCTCTCAAGAGAATTGAGAAGCAATCTGAAAAAAGGAGAAAAAGCAAGTGGAATTGAAACCGAAATGAGCCGCATTGAATTGGCAGTGGAGGAACTTATTGAGAAAGAAGATACAGCTGAAACTGAACAATGAGTTGATGATGACCCGAAGAAAGCGAAGGTCAGCCAAGAGAGACAAAATGCAGAGGCAATGCGAAAGAAAGCGATGGAGGTACTAGGGCAAACGCAGAAACGAAAGGCAGACGAAAGTGAATCTGACCGAAGAAAAAGGAAAAGATCCGATGGCAAAGATACACTGAACTTCCTAAGAGAGAAAAATGAAACGTTTCAGAAAATGCAAAATGAAGAATTAGAACTCAGGAGACAACAACTTGAGGTTGAGTCGAAGAAAAATGATAATTTCATGCAAATCATGCAAATCATGCAAATCATGCAAATCATGCAAATCATGCAAATCATGCTCAACCAACAACAGCAGCAACAACAACAGATGAGAATATTTCAGTCTATGATGGCTACGCAAGCGAAAAAGCAGAACGATCTAATGCTTGTAGAGATAACTGAGATGTTCAATTGAATGGCTTTCTTAATCTTAATCATATGCCAACAATCTTTATTGTTGATGAGTTCACACTCAACTTGACAAGTTACACAGTTTTGTTTACTATGAAATTATACAATTAAGTTATTAAAATATTGCTGCTTAGTTGAGAACAATAGCCCTTGTTGTTTTATTGCAGTGTTCACTCTTTCAATTGCTTTTACAATAAAATTTTTTTGTTATGGCATGTCATTCCTCAATTAAAAGAATAGTTTGAGCTTTAAGGTTTGTCAAGTGAAATAAGGGAGAGTTAATGTGATGTAAAAGTGTGCAGAAATTATGGAGAGATATTCTGGATTTTATGAATGAGAACATCCACTTTTTAAGTCTTTCTATTCTGCTTTATGATCATCTAAGTGATCTAATCTTAAACAAAGTGCTCTTCAAGGGTTGGGGGATCCAAATAAAGAACCTCTGAAGTAAGGTTTCCATTTGAGCAGGTTACGGCATTGCACTGACAATGTATATCGTTCCCACCGAGCTTACACCGATTTTTAAATTCTTATTAAAATCCATACATTTAAATTAGTTCACAATATCCCCGAAAAGCTATTCTACTGATTCGCGCACAGTACTCATAGAGGAGTTAAAGGCTTGCATGGCAGGAGTTAAGATAGCATTCCTGAAGGGCGCTTGAAGGTGGATGCGGAGAGGGTAAGCTGGGTCACCATAGAGACACATCAGTTGACCCGTGGAGGAAAATGCATACTGCTGCAGGTCATTTAGGAGTCCGGAATCTGCCAACATCCCAGCATCATGTTTTCTTCCTTCTGAATGAAATTTGACAAACATAGAAACCATTTCAGAGCAAAGAAACCATTTTAGAGAGCGCTAACCCTTGAAACAAATGACATAGCTAAGAGCTTCTGAGTAGCAAATGAAGAAAACGACATGACCAAAAATCACTTACCTCCCACTGAGTTTTCTAACACTGAAGTAAGTCTTACCTACAGGCCCGAACATGCTTGCGATGATACCATTAGGCATCGTGATGGACTGAGATTTCAGGGCATGGACACGTTTTTGTCCATTGTAAACCGCTCTTTGTAATTCCCCAGGACGACAAATTGGTCTGACGTACTGTTCCATCTATGAATCCTATGCAGTTATCCAGTGCTGCACCTTTCAGTGTTGTAGATAGCTGAGCATATTAGGCACCTTAAGCAACAGACGTTTTTGTTGACGACGGCGACGTGACGACCGATAAGAAACTGGGGATAGAACGGCTTTAGGTTGCAGTCGCAACTGCGAGTTGCCATCCTTAAGCAAAGCGCGCGAAAAACGCGACGCCGCGCAAAGCGAGCTATGCAAATTTAGCGGGGTGTTCAAAATTCACAATAAAGTTCTCGATTCCTCCGTATTGTCCGGTCATGTCGAGCTTGCTGGAAACCCAAGATTTACTTTTAGCTTCCTTTATAAAAAAAGTGACAAAGGCAAATGAATTTGCCATTCTTTACGACGTAAACCAGCCAAAAAATCCACCATTTTCGCACGTCAACTACGAGGAATTCTCGTTGGAGAATCTTAGCGACGAAGAATGCATAGCAAAATTTCGTGTTGGAAGAGGGATTTTCCCATTTTGGCCGACGCTCTTGGCATTCCACCTATTTTCCGCTGCTTGCAGAGGTCCGTGTGTAATGGAATGGAAGGCCTTTGTATGCTGCTTAAACGACTTGCGTTTCCTTGTCGTCACAGTGACATGATACCAAGATTTGGCCGACCTGTTCCAGAGCTAAGCATGATGACCAACGTTGTTTCAGACTGGATTTACACCGAACATGGCCACCACCTTACTGATTTTAATCAGCCATTCCTCTCCCGTGCCTCTCTGCGGACATATGCAGATGCAATCCATCGAAAGGGTGCGGCGTTGAATAACTGCTGGGGCTTCATTGACGGAACTGTTCGCCCTATTTGCCGCCCACTCCAAAATCAACGAATCGTCTACAATGGCCACAAAGTTATATGCCTCGAAATTCCAATCTAATGCGACTCCAAATGCTCTCATTGCCAACTTATATGGCCCAATTGGTGAGTGGAAATATACTTACATTCAAAAAGTACGGTAATTAGGAAGCTAAATGTAATTTAATTTCCGGGGTTATGAGTCTTAACCTGAAGGTAGCACTCTTCTATTTTTTGTGTCGTTGGCTGTATTTTTGCTTAGATTATGTGTTTTCTTGCACTTTATGAAACTACAAATGAAATGATAGAATTACAAATGAGTACCACAGAAACGTTGGTATAGGATGGAGTTACTGTGATACGCTTTTGGACAAGTTAGAAGGAGGGAGAGCGGATCTACAAAAAAAGGAGAAGGGCTTGACATAAACATGTTGTTCTTATTATGTCATATTCTTCTTTTTTTTTGTCGTTAAAGAGGGCAAGAGGCATGACAGCGGAATGCTTACGATTCCGGGGTGTACAACGAGTTAGCTAGGAACTCTTTCGACCCGGCTGGGCACCCTTTGTGCCTGTATGGAGACCCAGCATACCCACTGAGAATCCATCTCCAAGCTCCCTTCAGAAATGTGGTTCTCACCCAGCAGATGGAGGATTTTAATAGTTCAATGAGCGCCGTTCGTTCTTCAGTAGAGTGGCTTTTCAGCGATGTAATCAACGATGTTAAGTTTCTTGATTTTAAATAAAACTTAAAGATAGGTTTGAGCTCAGTGGGAAAAATGTACACTGTTTCTGCTTTGCTCAGGAATGCAATAACATGCTTGTATGGAAACACCACATCCACCTTTTTTGATCCCGACCCTCCAAATATTTATAATTATTTCTCTTAAATTATCTGTTTGTAACACAGTGTCAGTGAGGAATATTATTGAATGATATCTTGTGAAATAAACAATGAACAAACGTTTTTGCCCATAGTCATGCGATCCTATCTTAATTCGCGTCAAGTAGGTATACAAGCTCCCTGAATGTAAACACAAGAAAATGAGGGAAGAAATACATGTACCAAATGTTCTAAGGCCTCAAGCAATACTTTTTAAATTATCAATAACACAACAAAGTTCTAGATTAGTTGCTGGAGGATGCAAACATTATTCATTAAATGAATTATTAAAACAATGTTTAAGACAACAACCTTGCACTCTATTTGTGTTCTGACATTTTCTGAAATAAGGTAGGCATAAGCTGCGCTTGCTGGTTCTGAGATTCCATAAACATGGTCTACCCCTGTTGCAGTTGTTGCTGCATCTGCTGTTGTTGTTCATTCTGTTGCTGTAGTTGTTGCTGCAACATAGACATCATCTGTTGCTGTTGCTTCTGTTACTCAGTTAAAAGCGAC